TTCTACTGTATTTTGCCGCTCGCGTCCGTGTACACACGTTGTTTAATGTCGTTGGTGAGCTGGAAAGCCTGTGTGTGTCCTATGCCTTAGCGGACAGCATGAAACCTACAAAAATAATAAATAACAGCGAGAGAATAATAATAAGAAGTTATTCTCTCTATGCTATTTTTCAATGTTTCAAGTGATGCAGCTGTTTTTTTTTCCCTGTAGGTTTTATAAATTAAAAGTATAAAAGTATAAAAAAAGTATACATTTTTCATAATGTTTAGTGAAATTATTTGGTAGTCTGAGGTGGAATGGGGATTCGGGAAAGGGGGGCAGATTGCATCACCTAATTTCATCGTAACATATAGGCCTGGCCTACAGAAAAGAACATTTATGTTTAATCTATCTAATAGTGTGTTGGGCATACTATACAATGATTTATGGCTTGTCTTTGTTGAATAATACAGAACATAAAGAGCTTTAGATTAGAATTATTTAGATTAGAAATCTAATTAGATTAGATTTAGAATTAGATTATTTTCCAAAATCGTTCAGCCCTAGTGCTAACTACAAAACCATGTGGCTCTAATGCTTTAAAAGTAACGGGACACCAATCTGTAGCCAATTTGTGTTACATCTCTTATGAAAGTAAATCATGCCTTTAAAAGGGTTGCATGCAAATTGTGGGGCACGACAAACTATTGTGTCTTTGGTAATTAAAGTTAATAATTACAAATATTTATTCTGGTGTAGTCTGGTCTGAAGAGTAGAGCCGGCATGTGTGGGTTGCTTCCAGACATAAGGAACAGATCTTGCAAAGGCATGCCAACTGTTTAACCAACACTGATATCATTTTCAGATGTGGATTGTAAGTTTTAGTGTAGATAATAAGGTTTTTTTTTCTCCTCCGCATGCCTTTCCTCTTGCATGTTTCAAGGCAGTTGAGATGGTTGTCTGATGGTGGTCTGATATGACAAGGCCAGCATATCTCCATCTGCGCTCCCCTGTGCCCTGGAGCCGCTGGATTCAGGCCCGTCTGAAATTGATGCTCATCTTTTTAGGCCTCTCTTATCTTACACAATACACCAATAACCATCCTCAGTCTATTTCCCTTTGTGACTAACAAAGCTCTCAGAGCTCTGAATGTGCTTATTACCCATCCCTCTTTTGCTCTCTCCCCTCGCGATCGATTCTTGTTATTTTCTGTCATTATTGTTCTCTCGTTAATCGCCAAACGTGCCGGCCTCTCGCTAGCGGTTCAATAAATGTTTCATCTCTTCTTTCAGTCTGTCATCTCTTTGGCTTTTTTAAGGTTTTTATTTTTAACCTTCTGTGTTTTATGCTTTCTATGATTATTGTGATATTTACTGGGTCGCAAGTTGTCAAATTCGCTTTGTCAAGGGCTTATTGCCTCGCTGGCTTTGTTTGGGTGGAGATGTTTGCATCAACATGTTGTAATCCAGCCTGTATGCCGAGGACGTCATGGAAGAATAAATGTAGAGCCGTTGTTCTCGATCTTTCCTGACAGGGGTTCCTATTACATGTTACCGCCCTTTGAATAAAGAATGGCTTTGTTGCAGTGAGCTTTGTGAAAAAAGTGTTTTGTACCTTTGAATTTATCGTTTTAAAATGTAGTTCACCTTTGGGTTGGTCTGTATTTATTTTACTGATGAAGGTTTCTTTAAACCTGTTGGTAAAATCAATGTTTCTGGTCTTGCAAATGAGCATGTGTCTTGCTCTACAGCTGTTTTGATGTCTGCTAGATCTTTGCCTTTCTATAGTCTGAATCTATAGCATGACCGCATGAACTCCGGCTCACTCCAGACATTTTAGCTTTCATCAAACTGAGAGAGAAATCGATCTGCAGCAGTGCCGGGTTTGATGCCTCGGGCCCTCTGGATGATCTTGTCATGTGTGATTGTGCAGTCAGCTGACAGGAGATTGACTCGTTCAGGGTTACTTGTACTTGAGGCTGTTGGACATGCACAGCTGTCTGTTTCTCTTTTTGTCAATATATCTTCCATCTGGATCATTAAGGTCATGCCTGGGTCCACAGCTGGGCTTCGTACCAGTGATCTCCAGTGGAGTCTCATTTGCTTTCATTTAAATTTTGTGTTACAGAATTAGACTTCTGAACAAGCGAACATTAAGACATAGGTTTTATTTGAGTCTTTAAATTAAACGTTGTGATACTTGTATTTTTTTTTTTTATTGTTTTTGCCATGAAAATAGCCTTCGGTGCTGACATGGCATTAAATAAATATATATACTATACTATTAAATGTTGTGATAGTTCACCCAAAAATGAAAATTTTCATAATTTGCTCACCTCATATTGTTCAAAACTTTATATCTTTATATCTAAAGAGATTTCGATATGGAAGTCAATAGGCTCCAATTTCTTTTGATTCCCAACGTTCTTTAAAATATCTTGTTTTGTGTTTTAGATCAAAAAGAATGTCATACAGGTTTGGAATAACATGAGTGTGCGTAAATGATGACAATTTTCATTTTTGGTTGAACTATCACTTTAAGTAGTAAAAATGGAGGTAGTTTTGACAAGTTCAGTTCATTTCCATAAATCAGTTCAAACTGTTTGTTTTAAGTAATCAACGTTTACGGAAGTGTGGCATTTTATTTATTTATTTATTTAAAATGCATACATTTTAAATATACGTGGGTAAATGTTACTGTAAATTACTGGTAATATTGGTGTGTTTTCTGGTGGTTGTTTAGTGAGAAACATGCTTTTATTTAACTAGATTTTTAAGATGTTTTAGTTGCTACATTTTTAAACCCTTTGAATCTACAAATGGCTGTTAGAATTGATGAATTGGAAACATATTGAAAGAAAAAAAATTTGCCCGAGTATGTGCATGTGTGTGTAATATATGCGCACACAGACACACACACACACGCACAAGTTGAAAGGTTTTACTTGCCAGCCCAACCCAGTTCAGTTCATTTCCATAAATCAGTTCAAACTGTTTGTTTTAAGTAATCAACGTTTACGGAAGTGTGGCATTTTATTTATTTATTTATTTAAAATGCATACATTTTAAATATACGTGGGTAAATGTTACTGTAAATTACTGGTAATATTGGTGTGTTTTCTGGTGGTTGTTTAGTGAGAAACATGCTTTTATTTAACTAGATTTTTAAGATGTTTTAGTTGCTACATTTTTAAACCCTTTGAATCTACAAATGGCTGTTAGAATTGATGAATTGGAAACATATTGAAAGAAAAAAAATTTGCCCGAGTATGTGCATGTGTGTGTAATATATGCGCACACAGACACACACACACACGCACAAGTTGAAAGGTTTTACTTGCCAGCCCCCCCCCCCCTCTCTCTCTCTCTTAAAGAAATCTGTAGGATGTGGTGAGCTAAATGTAGCCTTGTTTTTTTTCCCCCCTCAGGTTTTTGGAGATTTTTATCACTTCAGGCACCGCAGAGTGGTGAAGAGGTCTTTATCAGATCACAGAGGAACACACATTCGTCTGCACACAGAACCTCAGGTATGTGTGAAATGTATAATCTGGATCCGCCTCAGAACAGCCCTTTCCAGACATTTTCCCCCCAACAAACTCAAAGGTTATGTTGACAAATCCTTGACTAAATGAAGCAAAAAGCCAAAATACTGAAGCCATAGAGATCTGAATAGGTCTCAGAGAAAGTACAGAAATGAGTGAATGTTACACTAAAAATAGCTGCTAAAAGGTGCTTTTAAAGGCACTTTAGACACAAAAAATGAGTGTGAAACCTAGAAAGTTACAGAATTTGGAGCATGAGATCTATGTAATCTAATTCAATTTTCTCAATTTATTTGAGAAATTTTAAGATTGCATGGTTACCTTTTTAGGACCAACATTTGGTTCCTACACTCTAAAAAATGCTGGGTTGTTTCAACCCAATTTTGGGTCAAATATGGACTAACCCAACTGTTGGGTTAAAAAGTTAATTTAAAAATGTATCCAAAATTTAACCCAACAGTTGGGTTAGTCCATATTTGACCCAACATTGGGTTGAAACAACCCAGCATTTTTTAGAGTGTAGCTATCGCCCTGTCAGTGGCAGCTTATGCCCACATTTGCAGTCCTACTACCCATTTTATATATATATTTTTAAGTTTGTCTGTTTCAATTTGATGTTCAGTGTTCGTGGCTAGAAAATAAATGTAATTTTATTGCCGAGTGACATGACTTGTCTTAAAGGGACTTTGACTCCAACTAAAGACCCAATCGCTTTTGCAAACGTAAAGAAGCACCAGGACCAGCACACTCAATTTTTAAGTCATTCATCTTTATTTCGCCCGTCATTCTTCAGCACTCTCTTCTTTCTAGTTTTTTTCTTGTCTTCTAAAGAATTGAGGGCAGACGTTTTCGGTTTGTCCAAAAATGTTTTTTTCTCTTTTCCCAACTGTTTCTAGAAACCTTGCTGGTTTATGTTCCAATGTTTGACTTGTCTCCTCTGAACGTTGTTGTGAATCTTTCCGTTCGCACCCTCACATGCTGTTCTCGTGAAACCTATAAATCAAAACTCCTCAGTTTCCTCCCCTGTGCATGTTCCTCTTAAGAACACCAAATAAAACTCTTTTGGTTTCTCTTGTCACAGGTTTGAAATACGAGCATTTAAAGTTGAGTTGCTCACTATGTGTCAACCTGACATCTGCGGACATTCACTACATCCTCAGTATTTGCCGCTTAACTGCTTTTCTGGTCCAGATGTTGAGTTCTGATGTGGCATGAAACACAAACCCTGCAATTTTAATGCCAGAGGACTGCTAAGGGCTAGAAACCCCCTTAATGGAAATCACGGACTGGACCCGTATGGCCCATTACTCACTTTCTAGAGGGGGTTAAAAAGTCCATCTTGTAACATGGCTGCAGCGCCATGCTTCATCAGTGCGAATGGCCTCCAGGAGCAGAGCGACTTCCCTCGAGATGGGAAAAGCACTCCATTGTCCGGTGTTCAGTAGTGATGAGGTGTGTGAATAATGAACCTACCTGGGTGCCAACACAATGATGGAGAGTCAATGCACACAGCCCGGTTTGATTCATTTGTCCATCTCGGATTCATTTCTAGAAAGTTGCTTTTGTTCATGAGCGCTAAATGATTAGTCCTTGAGGTACAACGGTGCTGGTTTTCCTCTTAAATTTCATGCATTGAATGCGTTGTCAAAGTCATCAGTCTTTTGGGAATTGCATAAGATATGCTGGAGGCTTTTTTAAAAACTTGTTTCTAAGTATAGATTGGAATTCATAGTTGCTATTTTTTATTGTTGTACACCTTCCCCATCTTTCAGAGATTATTTCAAAATCACATGTTGTATATTTTTTGTCACTATTTCTTACTTATCTGTTCTAGCCTGTACATATTTATATATTGAAAAATGTCTTCTAGCTTGTACTTTCTTCTTTCTTTCTTCAAGAAAAATGTCTTACTTCTAGCCTCTGTTATACTCATGCTACTGCGACCTTGCTTCGCTTTTTTGTATTTCTCATTTGTCAGTTGTTTTTATAAAAGTAGAGATGATTTTGTCGTTGTGTCTGTTAACACCCACTCGCCAAGTGAACCAACACCCTCTGATTCTCCAATGATTGTGGAACTGTTATGATTAGTCAAACTGAAAATCTGGAAAAACTGAATAGTGAGCTGTAGAATTGCCAAATTACAACTCCAGCCACATATTTAAGATAAAAATGCAAATAAGAATGCAAAACCTGTGCATTCAAATTTAAGATGTGTAGTGAGCACTAGCAACCAGTTCAAATAATCCAGTAATAGTCAATATTGTAACTGCACCACTTGCTGAACACCGGTAAACTAAAGTGCTTTAATAGCAGTTTAATTAATTTACCCAAATTCGTCCTGTATCCTTAAGAAGGTAAATAAATGCACAACATAAACATAATATTACAACTTGTTTCTGCCCAACATGATACAAATCCATCATGAAATTAACTGTACTGCTGGTAAGTCGCATTGAATATGATATTTTTTTAACAACACACTGAAATGTGACAATCACTAAAGCGTTAAATAAATCATTATTACGGTAGTGTTTTGTTTGTAACATTAGCTAGTATTTCATGAGCAGTTTTCATGATTTTGTTGATACATGTTTGAATTAATATATAAAATGTGTAAATATTTAGTTTATTTTTTTCATTCTCATAAACTAAAATAATATTCAGGGTAATATATCTGTAATATTCAGTGCTATTTTGGTCAAATTAGAGTTGATTAAAGTGAATAAATACGATATGACAAAATATTGACTAAATTTTAAAGGATGTTTTCGAAATACTAGACATACTAGGACTAAAAAATGATGTGAAAATTAACACCGGAACTGGATTAAATCTCTTGAATCTTTTGATTTATTTAATTTTAGGAATTTCAGTTTTAAAATAAAGGTATTTTAACAGGTACTTTTATTTGTTTTTACCATTTTTTTTTTTGCGCCATCTTGTGGACTGTTCATTTTAAAATCATGTAACTGAAAAGTCATTAGAACATAATTATATTATTTCAGTGAAAATTTTCATTTTTCAAACTATTGGCAGCCCTTGTGGGATTCCTTTGCAGTTGTCTTCACATTGTGTGGCTGCTCGTTTAGATGAAAAGATTGACCTCTGTTTAACTTTGTAGGATCGTCAATGGTCACTGTCGCTCAGATGGCAGCAGAAGGTTGACTCATTTAAAGGGGTCATATGATGCTATTTTAAAGATCATTATTTTGTGTATTTGGTGTAACAGAATATGTTGACTTTAAAATGATTGACTTCTGGTCATTTTGATGATACAAATGGCTATAACGGTGAAGGAAATCGCTCTTTGTGAAATGAAACCCGCAGCTGTGTGAAGATGTTGCCCTTGTAAAGTGTGTTGGTCCTGTTGCCTGCCCTCTCAGCGGGTTCCTGTGGCATTTCCCCTCACTGCCCTGCTCCACTTCCTGTTGTTGAATTCTTTCGCTCCCTTCAGCTTCAGAAAGAGCAACCTTTTGAGCCCTGTTTTATCACAAACAATTGTGGCTATTGACAAATTTGGAATGCTAATAGTAATTACTTTTATACTATGCAGTCTTCATGCATTTTTTACATCGATTTTTTTCTGATAAATAACATGCAGTATGTGCAAGTTCCATATTATACTGCACGTCATGTAAATCTCATAAATTATATACAAAGAAAGAGCGTGCATTAGTCTTAATGGTTCAATGTTTTCTGCAAATATGATTTAAGCAATTTACTTTATTATCTGCATTTCCAGTTAAGATATTCCAGATCACTTCCATCCGGACTCCATTTATAGTCAAGATTTTATCAAAACTCTCTGTTCTGTATCACTCAGTCCATCTTCATAGCTTCAGAAATCAATTTCCTATTTCCGAGTCCTTTGGCAGCATTCATATTCTCTTTGAAACACATTTGGCACAAGTCAAAACATCAGAGCTGTCATAGATGAAGCAACAGAAGCGCTTATGTGTGCTACTTTTTTAATTACCGTATTACTCTTGCTAATTAATCAGCAGGGGGAAAAGTGATATAATGTTTAGACAACATGTCTAGCCCCAATAACTTGCCAAGCAGATAGCCTCAGATCTTAATGCGGCTTCCTATCAGCACAGTTTTTCATGCATTTTTTTTTTTCCCAGTGATAACATCAGTGGGTCTTGCATGTTCAAAAAGATCTTAACACAAAGAATGTAAAATTATCTACTTCAAAACTTTAAATACGTTATTTGAAGCTTTTTATTGTTTTATTTTTATATTTTATTTTATTTATTATTGCCTTTTTTTATTATTTGAAATTGTTTTTTGTTTCAACTTTTCAAAGATCTTTTCATACCTAGCACAAATGATGTGGGTTAAAGGCTATAGTTTTAATCTTGGGGTTAGGAATGTGAATAAATACCCAAAAGCCCAAGTATAAGCAATATTAACCATAATACTAAACCGAAAGTGTTGCGGGAAATGTTTGATTTTGTCAATCAAGTCAAACAAAGAATCTCTGACAACATGACCTAAACTTTGAACAGCTGTCAGTACACAAATGAATAGGTTGATTATTAACTAATTTACCTGAATAAAGCAGATATAGAGCATTTCTGTCAATTATATGATGATTTGCTGGTAAATTTCGTCATGACGGCGTGACCTTGAGGTTACATTGAGTGGTGGGTCAAATGTGTCCTGGTTGTTCTTAAGGGCTGTGAACATCCCAGCTGGCCTGTCATTCTTTTTCTGACCACTCGCTTTACTTTCCTGTCACATCTGTCCATTTCATCCACTAAAAGTCATTCTAGACAGTGAGCAGTGAGCTCTGGCATGAGCAGTGCTGAGCTGTCAATCACATAATCTGCTACCGTCTGCGTTTTCTGCCCCGCTGCAACTGTCTCTGCCCTAGAGAAACGGCTTCCCGTCGTTCAACAGGCCTCTCTGTCTCTGTGTTGAGTGGAGGAGGATTGTGAGGAGACCGAGAACAGGACTGTGTGTGTCCGTCAGCAGCTTTCGTCAGCACATGAAATCAAAATTGACCATATTTACTATAATGTATTGTACAAATTTCATCATTACTTGTTATTCTTTCGTCAAAATGCATGAACTTTCTCCCTTTTCTGCTGACATTACCAAGGCTTCATGGCCTGGGAAAATTATATTAAGCAATAAAATTAAATCCTGCCCTTATAGTTCAGTGTTCATATTATTAGTGAAACTGAATATTGTGTTTCACACAAGCATGTCACGTTACAGAAGATAGATGCTTTTTGAATGGAGTTTCACATATTTTTACCCATGTTTAATTGCGTCGTGCAGATTTGGTGCCATTATTATTACTGCTAATGATCCATTGATTTTCATTAAAAACAACTTATTCTGGATCTGATGGAAAGGAAACCTTGGAAACAAATACTTCACATATGTCTCTGACTGTTTGTTTGTTTGTTTCTCAAGGTAATGTGGGCGGAACAGCAGGTGGTGAAACGAAGAAAGAAGAGGGATATTTACTATGAGCCGACCGATCCGAAGTTTGCACAGCAGTGGTACTTGGTGAGTAAATAGCTCATCTGTTTGTTTGTGCGCACATGTTTGTGTGTGTTCGTGAACGGTTTGTTCATTTGCAAGCACGATACCTCCCGCTCAGATCGGATGGTTTGGGTGGGCTGTTGTAATGTTCTGTTTGGATTCATAGGACTCTGTTCCTTTTGCCCCTATTAAATGGGACATTGTGTAACAGTGAACTTGTTGCCATTATGGTCATCCGGTGGAGCTTAAAGTTTAATCAGCCGGTTGTGATTTGGCTCTTCGGAAACATTCCAGACGTGCTGGCCTTCACTCTCCATCAGTCTTCATACATATCCTCTCCTTTGATGACAGTCCTTCTGTGCCACTGTTTTGAAGTGGCCATATTCATTTGAAATAACATGACTGTTTATATGCACAATTTTATATGCAAAATAATTTCATTGTAATTGCAGATTTTGAATGTACTGTATTCAGTTTCAGCTCTGCAGTTTGATGAAAATTCACATTTGCATGAGCAATGAGCAGCATGTGGTGTCACTGTCAACACTACCAAAATAGCAATAAAATATGAAGAAAAGCAATGCTGAGAAAGCGGCCGAGTCAGCTGACTAAACATGTGCATGACTACTAGGGTTGGGTACCGAACTCGGTACTTTTAAGGGTACCGACCGAATTGCGTCGGTACTACCGAGTACCGATTCACATTAAATCAATCGGTGCCAAATTTCGGTACCTGAGAACGCATCTGGGCGCATACGCTACAGAGAGAGAAAGAGAAGACCCTGTGACGTGAGGTCACCCCTGCAACTCGTGGGACCAACCGAATTGCGTCGGTACTTCCGAGTACCGATTCACGTTAAATCAATAGGTGCCAAATTTCGGTAGCTGAGAATGCATCTGGGCGCATACGCTACAGAGAGAGAAAGAGAAGACCCTGTGACGTGAGGTCACCCCTGCAACTCGTTCAAACAGCACACAGGGCAAGTCGAAATGTTCTGAAGTGTGGTTACATTTCTAGGGCCATATGGTTTCTGCAAAAACGCAGATGGGATCGCGGAGTCCATTCATAAAAACGTAATTTACTCTATTTCTTTATTACGCGAAATGCCACGGAATTCTTCCATTTTGGACGAATAAATCAAAAGTAGCCACTGCCACTTAATTCGAATCGCGATATGAACTAGTGTCTGTGAATATTAAAATGCAAAAAGACGGTTTAAATATGTTTTTTTTAATGGAATATTCACACAATTTTTCTTCCATGTATTAATTTCAACAGTAAACCTCAGTTTGTTTGCCAAAAAATAAAAGGGTTTAATTTTCATTTGATTTTCAGAAAAATTAAAACGAATTTCTGGAAAAAAAAAAAAGAAAGAAAGAGAGAAAAAGTTTGTAGAGCCCTATTGTTCAAAATGTTGAAATTGAGACTTTTGGACTTATTTTTTCACTGAAATAAATATCCACCGTTACGGATGTGACATTTGCAGTCAAAACCTGAAATAGGTATAAATTATATTTAGGTACCGTACCGGTTAAAATGTGAACGGTACCCAACCCTAATGACTACCTGTTTGTTACTTGAAAAGACAATTAGAAGAAGTGTCCCAATTCTGTCTTGTGTAAATATTAGCCGCTTCTAACAAGACATCTCCGGATGAGAGTATGTGCACAAGTATCTCTCTCTTTGTTCAAAGTATATTTGAGTCCTATTGTAAATGTAGTCTGATTGAAAGGTATATATGGCATTTATCGTTCTATTATTATTCAAGATCTGCACCATCTCTTTTAATTGGATAGAAATTTCATTTAGATTGCCTCAATTGATCTTTTTTCCCAATTGAGGTGTTTACGAAGGCTTTTTCATATCGAGCTAATATTCAGATTATTAATGGATTCTTTGGCTGCTAATATTGATGAGTTGCTCTCTGTCAGCTATGATTCAAGATGATGGTTGTAGAATGCTTATGTATCAGCTCTGATACTGTAATATCGACCGTAAGGCTACAGACAATATTTACAATTATTTGTCATTCCTTCCTCACAGTCTCCTGTTATCTCGATACTTTTACTATTAATAAGACCTTTGAATTAATGTGCTCTTTTTAAAGACTTAATGATAATTTACAGGTCTGTTCAAGGCCACGAAAGAAAGAAAGAGAGAAAGAAAGAAAGAAAGAGAAATAAAGAATGAATGAATTTATGTATTTATTTATTTTTGCTTATTTATAAAATATATTTCTAATATTAAATCTAAATATATTTATTTATTTATTGAAGTAGTTATTAGGAGTCCCTACATCCTTCATGTCTCTCATTTATGAGAATCTTGCAGTGTAATGAGAATCGTTAATTTGTGTTTAGTCATTGCTCAGTCATTCTGCGTTCAGTGGTGATTCACCAGACCTGTACGTTTTGTTCCAGCTAATGAACCAAGGAGACAATAGATGCTTTTTCTCACATTTTGGGGAAATGTCATGACTTTGAAAAAACAATAAAATTGTAGTCTGGGCTCCAATCCTTTCTCAGCACATTTTTCCCCTCTTCACGGCAGCGTTATCAATCATGTTTATCAGTAAAACGGTTAGAATCCACTCAATAACATTTCCGCAGAATGGAATGCAGAGAAAGTTTCGCTGCAATTGCAACAGTTGACTGAAGGTCATCAGCGACAATTTATCAACCTCACAGCCATTATTACTGGACCTTTGAGGCGAAATTGCATCATTTTGCCTGATGTAGGCTTAAGAAATAAACTCTCAGTTCTCTTCGTTTGACTTATCCTGGACAATCCCAGGATAAGCAGGAGAGCATCATTTTGGGGTCATCAGACCTGACAGCACCTTTCTGGCTTCAATTTCTCCCTGCGACCTCCCTGGGGAAGAGAGCAGTGACCCTGTGACCAAAATGAAAGTCCAAGAAGCCATGCAGCGAAATGAATTAAATTTTCTGTTCAGATAAACTCAGGTGGCCATGTTCATTTCTGCACTGGAGTGGAGTGGGAGGGCAGATCTCTGTGGTCTGACAGTGGGTGGGTGGATGGTCAGCCTGACAGCGCTCTTGGCTCGGCTACCAGTCATTTCTCAACAAGTTTGGATGTTTGTTTTTGTTACAGTGATCTTATGTTCACCTCGGCTGCATTTATTTGATCAAAAATACAGTAAAAACAGTAATATTGTGATATTACATTGTTAAAATGTTTTTCTATTTTATAATATTTAACTCTGTAATGTATTCCTGTGATGCAAAGCTGCATTTTCAGCATCAGTAGTCTTAAATGTCACGTGATCCTTCAGAAATCATTTCAATATGCTGATTTGTTGCCCAATAAGCATATATTATTATCAATGTTGAAAACATTTATTCTCACCAAGGCCACATTTATTTTATCAAAAATACAGTAAAAACAGTAATACTTTTTCCCACAAAGTATTAAGCAGCAAAACATTTTCAACTGTGATAAAAAGAAATAAGAAATCTTGAGCACCAAATCAGCATATTAGAATGATTTAATGGCAATGGCTGCTGAAAATTGCCATCACAGGAATAAATAAAATTTTAAAACATTATATTAAAAATTTTAAATGATAATAATATTTCACAATATAACTGTTTTTACGGTCTTTTGATCAAATAAATGCAGTTTTGTTAATATAAGATGACTTTGGAAAAAAAAAAATGTTGTGAATGGTAGTGTATGTTCTCTTTTAAGTTAACATTTTTGAATAATTCAGTAATTACATATTTTTATTTATTTTTCCTCAAAATAAAATAAAATTAAATTAAATTAAAATCTGGCATCAATGCAAAAACTGCTTAATTCATATATTAGCTCAGGTGTGAAAATAACAAAATTGTGTAATATAAATTCAATATAAACAGTACAGTAAAAGCGCTACTATCTACACATCAAGAGGACAGCAAGCAAACCATAAACGCGATACCTGAGGTTACAGTGCAGTATGTGAAGGGCAGTATGAAGTGTGTCAGGGCACTGCTATAACCGAGACATGAAATTGTGAAGGCATATTCTAGATTTTCAGCATCCTTCATGCCTAGAACAGGAGGCCATGTGGTATTGAGGTAACGGCAGACTGCAGCCTTGAATCAGAGAGCTGATGTGAGCTTCAAAAGTGAAAGATTTGTGAAAGATGATCCTCAAAACATGATCCTTAAGCACTGGTTGATGTTCAGCATCAGCGGAGTAGTTAGCAGGAGGGAAGTGGCGTCTATGCTGATCTGTTCTTTCTCTTATTTTCCATTCAGTACAACGAAGATCATCGTGACCTCAACGTGAAGGACGCCTGGAAGCAGGGTTTTACTGGACAAGGCGTCGTCGTGTCCATATTGGATGATGGAATTGAAAAAAAACACCCAGATCTGATTCAAAACTATGTGAGTTTGAATAAACAACTATTATATATAACCCAAAACAAAATAACTTCACTAAATGTTTCTTACATATTCTCAGGATCCAGATGCTAGCTATGATGTTAATGATGGCGACCCAGACCCTCAGCCTCGATACACCCAACTCAATGATAACAGGTACTCAATGCGTATTTACTGTAATCTGTAAACCTAGTTTAGGTCCCCTAAGCAAACCCAGCGATTTACGGGCCGTTGGCAGCTCAAACTGTTATTTGTTTTTCCAGTCTTAGCCAGCACTGTATTTTGTGCCTAGGCATGAAACTCCTGGCATAAAACTAGCTGAAGTATGAATACTACTATACATTTACTGCTTTACTTAATGGGGCCAAAGGTTTCCCCTGCAGAGTGGAGATTGGCGCAGGAATACATGGCCTGCAATATAGTGTGATTAGTGCTGTAGCCGTAACCCATTTGTGTTGGACAGGAACTGCTTTTGCTAATGAGGTTTTTTTGCCTATCCAGTAAGCAAATGGTAGTGCTATCGTTTTCAGAATCACGATCTGCAATTATGATTTTCGTTCATCATTCATTTGTTGCACCATTTACAAATTTAATGGTGTTACACATGGTCACTTTTGGCCAGATGCAGTTTAATATGTAAATGAGTTAATACATATTTTCCTGCAAAAAATGCTGCGGTTTATGTGAATTATCTCAGCAAAGATGCAAAACATGCAACTAAAGAAGTTACTTGATATATTAATGCATTGACCGTTCACACTGACTGCGATTGAAATGTATCATAGCTGGTGATCGTACACGACTGCAGCGGTTTTCTTTTCACACATATCCTACAGTACGTAGGGTCATATCTTCCAGGCGAAAGCATATTTTTACAGAAAGTTAAATTCATTTATATGTAATACTCTTGAGACTAGTGTGCAGGTTGTAGCAGTAGGCAGCATCTTTCTCTGGCTGTTTTCTGTGTTGTGTGTTTTTTGCTGCTGGGAAATTAGTTTCTCTGTGATTGATGTGTTGTGAGTTTAGTTCTCTCCATGGATTGTGTTTTGTTGTCTTGGTAATGGCCATCCACAACACCGGCCATTTTTATGGCCTAGTTCATAAATCAACAGAGATTTAGGTTGAATTGTGAAGAAACAATGATGGTGTTGAGAATGGGTTACTTTAAAGAAATAGTTCACCCAGAAATGAACATCATGTCATTCTGAGCTTGTATGATGTTTTCTTTTTGTGGAATACCATAATTTGTAAAGAATCTTCACACAGTTAATACTGAACTTGGACGGTCAGGCTCCAAAAAAACAAAACATCTAAAATAGATTTAGTATGAAATGTATAAAAATGTATATAAAATTAGTCCATATGGCACTATATTTCATATCTAGGATCAGGTCTAGGATCTAAGATCTATAGATCTATCAAAGATCTATGGCTTTGGAGAAATGAATTAGAATATATATATATGAAGTGATTTTTCATGTGTTTTTTGATCCAGCCAACTTGAGGTCGTTGTATTGATTCTATGGAACAAATAACAGCATAAAAGTTTCGAGTGACATGAAGGTTAGCAAATGATGAAAGAATGGTCATTTCTTTGTGTGAACTATACCTTTATACGCTCAGGTTTGTTCATCACCACCCCTCCAAACTGAATCAAACCCATAACATTTTACAAAGCGAGACTTTGCTATGGCTAACGATCACGGCTAAACTCTGTTGTCATTTAATGATGAGTTGAAGAGTTGAACTCTGGTCTGTCCTTATTTCACTTTGGGATTTTCCTCATTCGTCCTTTTTTTTGGGATACCAGCCAAAGAGCCGTTTTTATCTTGAGGCTAACCATGATTAGTGATGACAGGCAGAAAAGCGTATAGTTACGAGTGGGTTGAAATCAAAGGTCTTGGGCTGAATGGCACGGCTTTGTAGTTTTTAGAGGGGCTGTCCCATGTTCCCCTAATGGAAGTACCCCACAGCGCATGTCATGTTGGCGTGACTCCTATAATGGGCGCTAATGAAATGACATCTTTGGCGCTAGTTGAAATGTGATCAAGTTTGACTTTTAAAACATTTCGTAAATGATTTTGCAACACAGAAACACTTTCGTAGTCACTATAAAGCATTAAAGATCAGTTAAAATGTCTCTATCTGATAATGCAAAGACAGCAGGAGATACATTAGTAGCAGTAGTTCAATAGCTGTAGCAATTTTGCTCGTCCTACACGTTATTTAGCTGCCATGTTTTCTTCTGACCCCTGCTGTGAAATTCCCCTTCTTGAATCCGCTACTTTTTTTTTCTCCAGAAACCCATCTCTTTTTGTCGCTTTTTGTCTAGCATGTTGCACTCCATATGGGTGTTTTACCGTTGCACTGATCTAGTTCTTGCATCTTTTACCACAGAACCACAAAGCTGGTTTCAGGTTTGCAACAGTAGCAGGGAACATTTACGAACACTTTCAGTTCTCAAGCACTGAATGTCACCAGCCTGTATGTGTTTATGTATATGCATATGTACAATATAAAATCATTGCAAATGCATAGTGTATATATTATCAATTTAGCAATTTTTTTTTATAATCAGCTGCAAAATTATTGCAAATCATACAATATATGCATATGTTGCTATGTAATGATTTGCAGTTATTTTGTGGCTATTGTTTTTAATCAGCCAAAAAATGATTGCAAATCATTTATATGGTTTTGTATTGTACAAAAAATATATATATTTAAATTTTTTAAGTTAAATTGATTTACTTTTTTTTTAATTCGGCCATTTAGTTCCAAATTTGCCATTTAAACAATTCATACTCATGGTACTCAGAACAAGAAATATGTAGATAAATATATTTTTAGACTGCTATGTAATGTTTTATTGGTGCATAAACATAATAGGCACAATATGAGAGAGAAGACAGAAATATGTAGTGTTAAGTCAAGCAGAACATCTCGGCAAGTGAGGTTATGTATTGTTTTATTGGTGCATAAACATAATAGTTTTCCCCTTGTGTTAATTTAGTGAAAAACGGTGCAAAACTTAACATGTTTATTAACTATATTTTAATTCTGTTTTATGTTTTGTATTAAACATTTCAATTCTTGGCTATAGTGGCTTTTTGGGTGAAACAATGTCTTCTTATTAAAGCTTTTATCTGTTTCTAAATTCTTATGTTTTTTATGTTTATATTGATATTTTTGTCAAATATCTTCGAAGGGTGACAAATATTGACATCTACTGTATCCCCCAGCCCTAGTGTTTGTATTGTGTGCATTTTAGCCTGCCTTTCTCAGTGTCAGATCTGGATTTTCTGTAAAACATCCGTTTATCAGTGCTCCAGCAATCCTTGGTCATGTTGTAAAGTGACTAAATAATGCATTACGCATTTTGAATTCCTAAGTGCGTTTCCACAGAAGTGGGGCAGGTTGAGTCAGTGTGGTGTTTCAGAAGAAACTTGAGCTGTGGCGAGAAGTGTTGAAGCCACATTAATGCCTTTCTGTTCATACTTTCATCTCTGAACAGTACTTTTTCCTAAAACAGTTATTGTTTTTTGTAATTTCATACTTTTGCTCTGAAAAAGTGAATAACGTTATTTTTGCCTAGAAATTATCTTTTTTCTGCTATTTTTAAGATATTTGTGTACATTTTTGCATACGACAACATTTAAAAAAAAATGATGTCTTTCATATAATAATTAGTCAGCTGGCTTTTAAAGGGGTCCTATTGTGCTCTTTTACAAAGTCTTGATTTTGTTTTGGGCGTGTACTAGAACAGGCTCTAATACTAGGATCGAAAAACACATTATTTTTCACATATTTTACATTATTATAACACCTCTCTCCCCAGTCTGGCATGAACGGCTCGAATAGTTCCTGTATCAAATGAAGGCCGACATCTACTGTATCCCCCAGCCCTAGTGTTTGTATTGTGTGCATTTTAGCCTGCCTTTCTCAGTGTCAGATCTGGATTTTCTGTAAAACATCCGTTTATCAGTGCTCCAGCAATCCTTGGTCATGTTGTAAAGTGACTAAATAATGCATTACGCATTTTGAATTCCTAAGTGCGTTTCCACAGAAGTGGGGCAGGTTGAGTCAGTGTGGTGTTTCAGAAGAAACTTGAGCTGTGGCGAGAAGTGTTGAAGCCACATTAATGCCTTTCTGTTCATACTTTCATCTCTGAACAGTACTTTTTCCTAAAACAGTTATTGTTTTTTGTAATTTCATACTTTTGCTCTGAAAAAGTGAATAACGTTATTTTTGCCTAGAAATTATCTTTTTTCTGCTATTTTTAAGATATTTGTGTACATTTTGCATACGACAACATTTAAAAAAAAAATGATGTCTTTCATATAATAATTAGTCAGCTGGCTTTTAAAGGGGTCCTGTTGTGCTCTTTTACAAAGTCTTGATTTTGTTTTGGGCGTGTACTAGAACAGGCTCTAATACTAGGATCGAAAAACACATTATTTTTCACATATTTTACATTATTATAACACCTCTCTCCCCAGTCTGGCATGAACGGCTCGAATAGTTTTAAGAGAGCGAGAGTCTTGCATACCACGCTGAATCGACGCGCTTCCATATTCTTTGTTGTATTTTCCTGTGTTCATTTAGAATTATTCAGCTTTTAAGAACAAGCAGAAGATATGCCGGTTTCTCGGCAGTGGGCGGAGCTAATGCGC